TCCATGGAGGGAAGGGAGGGATTAACATTTTTCAGGTTCCTCCTGGTGGCTGGCACATTTTTCAGGCATCCTCTCACTTACACTTCACTTTGGTTCTTAGGGCAGAGGTCGCTGTGATCTGCATTTTTGCCTTAAGGAGTTGGGGACTTAAAAGGGAGGACGTTTCTTACCCAGGATCACCTAGTGTGTGATTGATGGAGCTAGGCTTGGGCCCCGCTGTCCACCCTGCTATACCGTGCCATCATCCAGGGTGGAGATGGGTGGATTATTAGGCAGGGTCTAGATGGTGGATATATTTTTTAATTAATATGTAATGTATGCATATTGTTAAAAAAAAAAAAAAAGGAAGAACAAAATAGGTAACAGTGAGAATTCTGTCTCCTAATTCCATTCCCCTGCCCAGAGGCAACCCCTGTGACCAGTTTCTTTCGGAGTTCCCCAGTATATGTATATGCTTTTATATATATATATATATATAAATTTTTTTTTTTTAAGATTTTATTTACTTATGTGAGAGAGAGAGGGAAAGCGAGCACAAGCAGGGGGAGTGGCAGGCGAGGGAGAAGTAGGCTTCCCACTGAGCAAGGACCCCGATGCAGGACTTGATCCCATGACCCTGGGATCACAACCTGAGCTTAAGGCAGACGCTTAACTTATTGAACCACCCAGGCATCCCTACGCCTGTATGTTTTTTAAAAACGCAAATGATGCAGACTCCGCAGTGTTCTGCATCTTGCTTTTCCACCTGATGATATTTTTTGAAGATTGCTTTATGGTAGCACATTGCCTCATTCTTATTAATGACAGCCTCGTGTGGATGGACCGTCATTTATTTCAGCAGTCCCCTGCAGGTCGACTTTTAGGTTGTTTCCAATCTTTGGCTGTTACAAATAATGCTGCTCTGAGGTAGCTTTCAAACCATTAAAAAAAATAATCTCGGCACACTGTATAAAAGCATTTACCTCAGCGCCTAGTACTCACACTAGTAACAAAAGGTTCTGGAAGCCCTACTTACCCTCAGTATATGTAATGCACTCTGGTATTTTGTATTCCATTCTGTTCTGTTTCATTTTTTTAAAAAAGTTTTGGTCAGAATCCACTAAGTTTATTTCATAGACACATGTACATGTACATATGTACATTGTACGTACAAATTTCCATCGTGTTAACATTAAACACGATGGAAATGTGCAGATATGTTTCCTCACCCTGTTGCTGGTGGGAAATGGAGCTTCCAGGAGAAACAGGAGAGCATCTTCCCTCCACCTCAACAGTGCTCTGTCAGGCTTGTGAAAACATCTGTCACTGATGTGTAAAGATGGTCTCTTGTTATGTGTAATGTACATGTGTCATGTTTTGAGGGATCCCCGTCCATTTACTAAATTTATATTTTCCTGCATATTTTAAACATACCAAATTTACATATGCATATACGTCTGTTGATCTACTCTCTGTTCTCTTCCGACATCAGACTTTTAATTGTTAAGGCTATATAATACGTTTTAATGAGCGGTAGGGCTAGTCCCCTCCTTGTAGTCCTCTTAGCATTTTTATGGCTATCCTCAAACATTCATTTGTACCACACAAATGCACATGTATTTCTCTTTTTAATGGTCTTCTCTCGTTTTTTCCGCATGTCTCAAAGTCTTCTGGCCAAAGTCCTTATTGCTAGTATCTGGTACTTTCCGTGATGGCAGGGGTCTTTGTACCCAGCGTGGCCGCTTGCTGATGTGTGACTAGAGATCAGCCTTACCAGCTTGCCTTTCGGGTCCTCATTCTTATCCCAGATGTGGAGCTAGGTTGTTCCATTCTGCAGGATGTACTCCGGGGCGGGGGGCCCTTTGAAACCTTGCCTTCAGCCCACAAGGGTTCCTCTCTCGTGAATTAGAACGCCAGAGCACACCGCCCATGAGGGAGGTGATTTCCTGGAGCTGACAGCTTGCTTCCTTCCCATCTGTGCTGTTTATCCGAGGCGATCCGTGCCGCACTGCAGTAATCAGTTGAGGTTTGTACTGAACAGGGTAATGGTTTCTTTTCCCTGGAGTTGTTTAACCAGCATCCTAGGAACAGATTCAGGCAGGCATGATCTAGTTTGACAACTCATTAGCCGGGGGTTGGTCCAAAATGCTATTCAGAGGGAGGAGAGCAAGGCCTGCATGTGGGATGCATGATTCACAGAATTTGAGAGTTGTCCCATGAGGACGTCACCCCCTCTGTTTAAAAGCTGGTATGTGCCAGGGGAGCACAGGGAACTCATTTGATCAGGCAGTATCCACCACTGGGCAACTCATCCAAGTGTCCTAGGCCTCCTGCCTTCTTCCCTCCCTCCCTCCCTGGCAAAGACTCTCCCTTCAGCTGTCCAAGCACCTGGAGACATCTCAGCCCACGGGGTTATCAGTTCCGGCCATCTGCAGAGGCGCCTCTCTGTGAGCTGCACTTGAGGGGGCTGTGTTGGGTGGGATCATATTCCTGGAATGAGTGGAACAGCATCAGAGGTATTGGGGGAGGTATTACAGCAATGCATGAGACAGTGTGGCTCAGCACTGAAAAAAGCTCACATAGCAGAGCTTTGATGCAATCCTTTTTGGATTTCTAAGGGGAAAATCTAAGGTTGGTAGGAGGGACAGGCTGGGATTGCATAAGCTCTAATGCCTATTTTCAAATAGCTAATCTTCAGAAAACAACTGAATTTAGAAGATTCTTCTCTAAGGGCCCGAAAGATTGCTTTCTGCCTCCACCCTCTTGGCCCTGGTTTCCCTCTGTTGTCGTGTTTCTGAGCTTCAGCAGCCGTTGTGGCTGGTCAGTCAGCCCAGGGCTCGGGGAGCTTCGAGCCGGACTCTTGCAAGGGCCCTACCAGACTGAGCCATCGCTGCTCCAGGGAGTCTCAATAGTCTTGAAAACCTCCACATCCCCTGGGATCTGATTGTCGTCTCAGTGCTTTCTCCAAGTTCACAATCTTCTGCCAGCGTAGTGGAATTAAAGGCTGATTTTTCTCACCCACCCGCTGCCTGAATCATATTTAGCTCTTCTGGTTATTTGTGTCTACATTTTATTTACTTTCATGGGATGCCACTGTCAAGTTCCACAATTCCTTATGGCCCTTGATAGAGTCTTTCCTTTTCTTCAAAGACGTTCCCAGGTGATACTTATTTTCACGGTCTGCTGAAGTGACAAGTTCAGGGTGACAGGAATGGAATTTGGGCTTAAGCTTTAGCAAAGATGGCAGGATAGGCCAACTCTATAACCTCTTGAATATTTAAGATTTACCCACCCTGACAGTGGCTTGGCAGGTGCAGGCATCCCAATGAAAAGCCTGCTAAAACGTGGCTGACCTGCCCTTGTCGAAGAGACCTCGAGCATTATTAAGTACTGCTTAATCATTAAGTCCTGCCCTCCTGCTGGAATGTGGGACACTCTCAGGGTAATGTTGCTTCCTGGCCCAGCAGCCTGTAACCAGTAGTAGTACATCCAGCATGGGACTCTGGGGACTGAGGCCGCTGAAGAAGGCACCGGTCTGAGCACTGATAAGCCAGTAAGTCGGGCTTTCAGGAGGAAAGCTGTTTCTGGTGAGTTTGACAAGTCCTATCTTTGGGGTTCCTACATGATCAGGAGGAGGCCCAGTCCTGGCTGAGCACCCAGAGTGTTTATGTAACCAGGTGCATAGCATAATGACATGCCATTCATAATGCATATTTCACTTTCTTCTCGGAACATGCCAGGAATTCCTGATGCAGATTACCCAGTTCACTAGCAAAATGCTCAAAACCCAGAACTAATCAGAAGGAAACCAGCAGACTTGACTGTTAGAAGGTGGCTGTGCACTGCATTGAGAATGGAGAGTAGTTTTAATATTTAATAAGTGTTGGGATGTAAATTTTATGTTGAAAGATGAACTAAGTCACAGGGTCTGTAAATTTAATTATCGAGAAGGATAAAGTAGGTCCGTTCAGTGAAACCTCCCACAGCTCTGAAATCTCTTAACAGGAGAGCCTGTGAGGGAATCAGATGAGACCAAGAACAAATTCTGCATAAACTTGGGCTTGGGGGAGCCATTAGCCTTCTGATCCTAGAATTGGAGAGCACTCCTTTCAAGCTGACGGGGAGAAGTAGGTAATGAACCTTGCTCCCCGGTGACCAGCCCCAGGAGCCCTGCAAGTGAGCTGGGCTCTTTCACCCGCACTGTGCCAGTGATGTCCGAGGTGGGAGGGATGCTCACATTCCAGGGAATGCCTTCTTGGAGAGGTTCTTCTCTCTTCTCTACACTCCATGGTAGCGAAAACACCAGCAGCTGAGCTGCCCCAAAAGAAGAGGGCTTGGAACACTTGGCACCCGCAGTGAAGTAAGTGGACGACGACAGACTTCCAGAGAGGGGTGGGAGTACGGGCTGTCCCCACGTCCCACTCGGTCTTCTCTGTGAACCGCACTCGTGTCCGCAATGCCCACTGACAAGAGTGCGTGTACGTCAGTGTGTGGACATCGGGCTAAGCGCGGGCTCAGCAGTGCTGATTTCTGCTCCCCACTTCCCCCAGCACCTTGGTGCACTTGCTCTGGGTCGTAAGCGTGACTCATCGTGTGGCCCTAGAGCAGTTCACTTAGACTAAGGTTCTCCTCGGTACTCCGAGGTGTAAGTGGGGCCTCCCAGTGGGCCCTCTCCTCACTTCGAAAGGCCCTGCCACTGAGGGGCACCATCTAACAGAGGGACAAGTTCCCCAAGAGCTATGGGGTCTTTTTGGACAATTCTTGGGTTGCTCAGAATTTTATTTTAGTAGGATTGCAACCAGAAGATTATAAATTACAGGGGTGCCTGGGTGGCTCAGTTGGTTAAGCATTTGCCTTTGGCTCGGGTCATGATCTCAGGGTCCTGCTTCTCCCTCTCCCCCTGCTTGTGTGCACACAAGTGCGTGCTCTCTCTCTCTCTCTCTCAAATAAATAATAATCTTAAAAAAAAAAAGATTATAAATTACACACCTCTAAGTCAAAGTTTGCCATTGCCTTGCCTGAGTTTTAAAAATCTGTTTACATTATCTCCCCAAGCAAAAAATTCAAAAAGAAAGAAAGAATTCTGTTTACCTTCTTGAGGGTTATAAGTGGGATCAACTCATGTATTTGTTAATATTTTCTTCTTTTAAATTATTTTGATTATCTAGTATTACCAACATACAGGAAGTGATGGAGCCTTCCATAACCAACTCTGCTGTGTGTTTCAGGCCTTTTCTTCCTTTTTCTGTTTTTAAGTAATAGAGATACTGTAGCTACAGCTGTAGTACAACTCATCCTGTTCCGTTTTCTCCCTCCTCCCCACGCGTCACCGCCATTCCAAACACATACACCTCCTTTGTCTCAGGAGTCAGGGCAAGCCGTGGTTTTTAATGTCTTCCCCACCTTCCGCAATCGCTGGCTGCCCTTCATGAGCTAGTAGGTTCGGTTACCTACTGTCTGCCTGGAGCCCAGATGTCCTGTGTGGATTTTAATGTGGAATTGTTTCTTGCAAAGGAAGCATTCCCTCACCACCTCACTGAAATGAACCAAAAAAGAAGAAAAAAAGATAGCTGTCCCCATCCATGCTTGCTTTCTGTCAGCCTGTGAGCTTGCTCCTTTCCCTTCTTCCTTTCCTGGGGCATCCAACGAGAATGACACGTGGATGGGCTCTGCGCATAGGTTTGCGGCCACTGTAGATCTCAGAGAGGCTCGCGTGCGCTGGTGTCTGAAAGCCCCTCTCCTTACTTCCCCACGGTAGAGGAGGCTGTGCGGCCTTTGTGCAGCCCTCCAGTCCCCCACCCCCCACACTCCACTCCTGGAGCACGCTGACGGGGGCATCCCACAGGGGCATCCAGCTGGAGTCGGCAAGTCTGGGTCTCTGATGCTACTTAGCCCAAATTGAGGGTGTAAGAATGAGAAGAAGATTTATGTTTTGTTTAGAGATTTCCATCTCTGATTACCATGTAGTTCTGGATAATTATAAATAATAATTAGAGGTTTTAGGTAATAAGCACAATTATTTTTTAAAAATTACTTTCTTTTCCAATCAGCAAATAGGTACCAAGTTCTTTTCTTCGTTAATTTAATTAGTAGCTGCTTATTGAGTACCTATTATGTGCTGTGTATTTCTTATTCTCCACATTGGGGATACAGGATAAAACAGACCGCTTAGGGCTCTGCTCTCATGAAACTGACATTCTAGGAGATGTTGACCGTAAATAAGCAAATAAGGAGGGTAAGTACAATGCAGAGAAGTAAGAGAGGTGGTATGACTAGTGCTGGGTGATGACCAGGTCAGGTGACTGCCGTGACCGTGACATTTACGCCGGGCTCAGGTTGGTAAGAGAGAACCAAGCATGTGGTGATTAGGTCGCTGGAGGATTTCAGGCAGAGGGAGCAGCAGATGCAAAGGCCCTGAGACATTTTGTATCTTTCTTCTTCAGCAAGTAAATTACAGCATGTGTAGAGAAATACAACACAGTGATTTTCTGCACACTCCGTCCTGTGTGGAGAGCCATTTATCTGAGGTTTTGCTCTGCACTGACTTAGGCTCAGCAGAGCTGGTTTGTTGGAGTTGTTTGGGTTTGTGTGCGCTCTGTGGGCTGAAGGCTGTCTGTTTCCCTCAGCTCTACGTCTCCTCAGAGAGCCGCTTCAACACTTTGGCTGAGTTGGTTCATCATCACTCGACTGTGGCGGACGGCCTCATCACCACTCTCCATTACCCGGCCCCCAAGCGCAACAAGCCCACTGTTTACGGCGTGTCCCCCAACTACGACAAGTGGGAGATGGAGCGCACGGACATCACCATGAAGCACAAGCTGGGCGGAGGCCAGTACGGGGAGGTGTACGAAGGCGTGTGGAAGAAATACAGCCTGACGGTGGCCGTGAAGACCTTGAAGGTAGGCCCGGGCCTGCCGCCGCCGCTCACGGTGCCATTGCGGGTGTGGGGTGGCTCTGCTTCCTGGGTTGCTGCCCCTGCACTCAGGTCCGAGGGGGTAACGTGCCCAGGAAGTGCCTCTTCGGGCCTCTGTGGTCCCTTTCTTCGAACGGGTTCAGTCCCTCGCCCCGACTCCGTGTGCCTCTGCATACAGCGAGAGCCGAGAAGTGCTGTGGTTTTTTGGTGTAAAAAGATGAGTCATTTGGAGACGTGTTTTCATTATATGGCAAGATTCTCTTAAAGCCGTGGGTTTCCGTTCTGTCTGTGTGGCATTTGGATCACTTCCTGTTGAGAGTTAAGAGAAGGAGGAAAAAAAACTTAAGTTTTTAAAGAAGGGGATTTAACCAAAAAGCATTTGACTCTTCTGTGGATTTTTGTTGGCAGACTTGAAAGGCAAGTGCGTTGGGTGTTCCTAGTAGGTTCCAATTCTGTGTAGTGTGAATGCAGACCTCTGGAAATGGAGGTGTGGAAAGGCATGAAGGAAGCATCAGGGCTTCCTACAAACTCAGGTACCATCGGGTCATTCTTGTTAACTAGGACTTTCGCCCTCTCCACTCAAGCGTGGGGTTTGTACTTTTCCGGTGGATTTGAAGTCCTTTGAAATCTTTAGGACCCCAAGCAAGGGTTTCACTTGCAAGCCCTCTCTGCCTTCCGAAAGTGATCTGAGCTTTTACCTGTGGCCAGAGCGTCCTCTAGTGTTGACCTGTGCTATTTTCACTTGCTTAAAAAAAAAAGAAAAGGAACCGATTACACTCACACGTGCACAGAGACTGAGAGGGGAGGCCCCCCTGTAGCCATAGAATGGAAACATCCACGACTGCAAGGAAGGGACCCAGGTGTGCGCACGCGCTTCTCTGGAGTCCTTGGGGCGCACGCTTGGAGACCCGTAAAGTCAGATCACTTGCCTTTTAGGGACTCTGTTACTTCCCTTCTGCCTTCACTCAGAGACACAGTAAAGTGGGAATTATGGGTTCTGGCTGATGTAAAGTGCCGCTTCAGAGAAAAGATCGCGTTCTTTAGTTCTAGAAACCAAGAGTGGCTTTCCTTGGTTGTGTCCCCCTTAGATCAGTCCTTGGGGCTGATCTTGTGTGTTGGGGGCGGGAGGTGACGTGGTTTGAGGTCACCTTGGGGACTTCTGGATACTTTCCAGACATGATTTTTTAAAAACACAATAAGCATTTATTGAGTTCCTTGCTTCTGTTCACCAGACCCTGGCCTTAACCCTGGGATTGTAAAAATAGACTAATTCACTTCAGGCTAGTCTAGGTAGTAGAACAGTGTAGCTAGGAGGAGGAATAGGCAATATGATGGTAACCACAGTGTGGTGTGATAGGTGCCAGATCAGAGGCAGGAGCGGGGAGCTCTGACACCGCATGGGAATGGGGCATGGGGTACTGGTGAGCTCCACTTGGGGAGAAAGCACGAAGGGAACCACAAGTTGGTGCCGTGGGGGAGGAACAGGAGTTGGCCAGGGGAGCAGAGGCCTGGACAGAGGTGGAGGGTGAAGAGCCTGCGCTAAGTCACAGAGGGTTTGAACCGGCTAAGGAGCTGGGACGCTATCCTGGAGGCGGTGGGGCGCGTTGAAGGGTTTGATGCACAGATGATTGGATTGGAGCTTCACAAAGATGGCTACTTTGGTGAGCCCTAGAAAAAACGAAACAGCCATTGCCCCGCCTCCCCCAGACCAGGCGAGACCAGGGAGAGGCATGTGCTCGTGCTGCAGTGTCTCAGCTTGGCACAGGAACGAAGAGCGGGCCCGGCTCTCGGTCTTGACCAGCTTGAGAAACTGTTAAAGGCCCAGGCAATACCCACACATTTGCCAGTATTTGCAGAAATGAAACAAGGAATAACAGAAGCACAAAATAAACTAGGTTTCCATCTAGGAAAGGCTTGTTTGAAAACTTTAGAAAGAGGGAGAGTTTGCCCAACTTGAAATGTGGGGAAGACACAGCCCAGCCACCGATGGTGTGGCGGTGTTTCCTGAGCAACTGAAGATGGGCATTCCAGAGGAGGGATCCTCCTGGAGGTCTCTGTTGGTGGTGGCGTTCTCACACCAGTGAAGCAGAATTATCTGGAAGTTTTGTGCCTTTTAGAATATATTTCTCTAATGATGTATTATTAATGATGTATTTTTATTATACTTTTAATGGTGTTCCCCAAGAGCTTTATTAACTTTATGGTCCCATGGTTGGTAAAAAAAAAAAAAAAAAATACAGAATCTAGTTGCATGGATTTCTGGGAGTCGTCACCCCTGCTGATAGCTAATTAGGGAAAAGGGAATGCATCATATTCTAGAGATATAGGTCAACCCAAATTATGGTACTAAGCAACTGCTAGATAAATTACCGCTTCTTCCGCCTCCCCTGCACAAAGCACAGGTCTACAATAGGTTTCCCACTTGTCAAATAAGATTAGTGTCACTATTTTGGGCATTTGTCTCCACTGGAGAAGTTGGGTTCTAAATGACAGTGATGGCTAATGTTTATTGAGCTCTTGCTATGTGCCCGGCAGGGTCTGAGTGCTCCATCTGTAGCCTCTCATTTAATCCTTTCAGCCACCCTAAGGGAAGGGTCCTCCTGTTGGCCCAGCACCACCACTGTTGTAGGCTTGAGGAAACTGCAGTGGAGGGAGGCGGGGTAACTGGCCCGGCGTGAGCCAGTGAGCCGCAGAGCCAGGCTTCCAGCCCAGGCAGCCTGCCTCAAAGCCCAGCTCCTTTCTTCTTTCCTTAATTGTCACCCCGGTTCTTACTCCTCACACACCATGAAAAATACACAAAGCACAGTTACAAGTCTTAGAAATCCCCTTCCCCGCCCACATTCACTTCCCCTCAGCCTGCAGCTGGATCTCCCTTTCTCCCTAGGACCCAGCTGGGCACCTGAGTCTCCATCTGCTCCCCCCACACACACCTGTTTTGTGTTGCTGGCCCCTCTTGAGGTGGCCCAGGTGGCGCCCCCTGCTTTAGTCCGGGCTCCATATTGATCCACCAGGCATTGGGTCCTGTACCTTTGGGGTCTGAGACCAGAAGAGATGGGGAAACAGGAGTGCACTGGGCTGACCTCTGTGGGTGGGAAACGAGAATTAAAGCAAAGGCCCACTGCTCAAACTGCTAGTTTGAGTTCTGACATAATTCAACAGGTCGTAGGCTTACCTCTACCTGTGTATTATCAATGTGACAGGTGGGATGTGCCTAAGAGAACCAGCTGTCCAGTACAAGAAAGCCCCATGTTTCAAATGAGCCATATTCCAAAAGTTTGTTTATAAGTCCGTTTTTTTCCCCATGAAACATGTAAGTCATAGAATTTGGGAAAGACTACTGTTGATCCAGTGGCATTAGGATTGACTCGTAAGCTACTGACAGATTTACCATTGAAATGGTGGAAAATAACATTGTTGAAAAATGTTAAGACTTAAAATTGTACTCAGTTCTTTATTTTTCAAATAGGTAACATATGCGCATAGTATCTTCTACCCTTGACTTTTGTGACTTTCCAGAAATAGTCCGCCTGTGGGTATCTTTCTGAACCGTACGGCAGCGTGCTCTAGACACTGCTCTGTGCCCCCTGGCGCCCGTGTATCTGGCAGTCGTTCCTCGTCAGTGGACGTAAGGTGGTCTTGTTTCTGCATGGATGTATTTTAACATACACCAGCCTTCAGCGGGCATTTGTGTTTTTTCCCGCACTTTCCCGCACAGTTATTACAGACTGTGCCATAGGGATTCTTGTTGGACGTGTGGAGACTGTCCTGGTGGTCAGCTCCCCAGAGTACACTAGATCGAAGAGCGTGTACCAATTTGTACTCGACCAGCAGTGCTGGCAGAGTGCCTTGATGCCCCTGTCCTTGCCAACACGGTCTGCTTGGGTTTGGTTTTTGTTGTACGAGCAGAGAAGGAAGGGCTCCATGGCGGCACTGGACCGTCGCGTGCTCCAGCTTTCTGACTCCCCGAGGGGCTGTGCCTAGGGAGAGAGGCAGCCCTCGGAGCCCACTGTTGCCGTGTTGCTCGCTCTTGCAGTGGCTTCTGCTCTGCCTGTGAGCTAGATACACCTGCGAGTTTGAGGACCAGGGCTCGGGGGGTTCTGTGTGAGGTGGTTTCTCGTGCATCTGGTTGGGGAACCCCCTTCCTCGGCCTGGCTCTGGAGCTCTGCCCCATCTCTGCGGCCCCCTCTCTGCAGGCTGCGGGCTGGCACTTCACCGTGGTGGCAGCCTTGCTCGACGCACATTTGGTTGAGAACCAGGGACAGATGTGGAAACTGAGCTCTCTGTGGACCCTGCTCCGGGGCCATGGTCCCTGCTGAGACTCAGGCATGAAGGGCACTCGGGGCTGTGCAGCACCAGTGGGACGCTGAGCCATTTACACGAACGCTGTTCTTTGTTAACGCCGTAGCCTGCCTACGCTCGGGGGGAGGCCAGTGAGCAGAAAGGGTGAGGCTGGGTAGAAAGCCCCCGTGAGATCCTGGGGCCGGAGAATGTGTCTCTGTGAGAACGACCGAAAGCAGTGTTAACTGTCTCTCATACTAGTGCTATATTTAGCCTGCTTCCCAGGCATAGAGATCACCTGTTTTCAGTACAGTAAAAGCGGGTCCCGCTGGTGGAGTCCTGCCCACGAGGCAGATGCAGCTCTTCTCCCCGTTTGGGTTCAGAGAAACCTCGCTTATCTGGCATGTGAGTAACTTGGCATGGCCACACAGTGGCAGGGCTTGGTCTGTGTAACTCAGAGCCACCCTCTGAACCAGCCCTTATACTGGCCAGGCCTTCGTGTGCATCTGGGCCAGGCTGGTCAGTCCCCGTGAGGAGAGCCCGGCTGACCCACCACCCTCCCAACAGACAGGGCCGAAACTCAGCCTTCACTCAGTGTTGCCATTGATCGGAGTTCATTTTATTTTACTCCGTAAATGGAAGACCTTTCAAAAAAAGATGATGGAAAGTTTTTAAATAAAAGTCAAGGAATAGAACAGGATAGCATCGGGGGTGTTTGCGGTTTAATGCAGCTGCAAAAGTCTGATGGTGCTAGTGGTTTCCATTGCAAATTGAACCAGGCCTGATTCCACCAGGGGGAGACAAGTTTACACTGATGGTCCTGAAAGAAAAAAAACAAGGAATTATTTATACTGTCCACACGTGTATGTGCGTGTGTATGAGTGAGGGGAGAGCGAGACAGACAAAAAGAGGAGAGGGGTGCCTTTGAAAGCCCTGTTGTTCCTTCTGTGTGTCCACGCCTCTCAAGATCCAGACATGGTTCTTTTAGAAAAGAGTCTGTAGCTATAAGAGCACATGATCTTTCTGAAATGATTTCACTGTGGGTGGTTTATTCTGTGGCACTTTTATAAAGGAAAACTCCACTTGTTTAGAAAGCTTTATTTGAGAGCTGCGTTTTGAACATGTTGCTGGCCAGGCAAGGTTCTTGAAGCCTCTGGTCCTTACGTGAGCAGCATCGACTCGCCGACTCCAGCAGGTGTGTGCTCTCCAGCCTTGACATTACTGTGTCACCCGGCGGATCAGAGCGCTCCACGCACGAACGGCACGGTCTGCTGAGCGTGTTAAGGAGCAGAGAGGACTGCGAAGAATTGAACAGCCAATGGGGTGGTGGCAGGAATGAGTTCTTGTCCCCTGTACAGCTTGACACGGTGACTACCAGCAATGTTTAATTGACATTAGAGCAGCTGACCATTGCTAAAGGGCAGTAAATTGTTTGAGTCTCCGCCTCACAGAGCCCAGGGCTAAGTGGTAATGGGCTGACACGTGTCCTCAGCGGTCGTGCTCCGCTTGTAAACATGACTGACCACAGCAGACACACGCTAGGGAGAGGATGACCTATCCTCTGGAAGCGTTCCCCACCTCCGGGGACAGGAATGGCGCGGCCACGGTGATGCCACAGTAAGGACACGTGAGCTCATCGTCTCCCGGAGAGGCAGGTACGATGTATAAGGTGCCACATTGAAAATAAGGTTGGGGCGCCTGGGTGGCTCAGTCGGTTAAGCGTCTGCCTTCAGCTCAGGTCATGATCGGTTGTGGGCTCGAGCCCCACGTGGGCTCCGCACTCAGCAGGGAGTCTGCTAGGGTTTCCCTCTCCATCTGCCCCTCCCTGCGTGTGCACACGTGTGTGTGTGTGTGTGCGTGCGCACGCGCGCTCTCTCTCTTGCTCTCTCTCAAATAAATACATTTTTTTAAAAAGTTGCTAAAGCTTTCCTCTTGGGCGAGTCTGGTTTTCCAAATCACTCCCCATCCGCCGTGCAGTCTTTCTCTCCAGACAAACTTAGACTCCATGCTGAAACTCAGAGGGAGGCGTCCTGCTTCTCCCGCTGGCCTTTGTAAGCGGGCTCTCACAGCAGACCGGGTCACTCCCCCCACCTGCTGCTTGTTGCGGTGATTAGTCAGAGGACAGTCCGTTCTTTAAGTCAAAAGAGGTTTACCTGACGCAAGCCACAGAAGGCTCCTACATAGTAGGGCCAGCCGCCATGTGCGGGGCGAGGTGCACAGCACTCCAGAGTTGAGCCTCGACCCACAGCACCTGAGGAAGTGTGCAAATAGCATCAGGTTTGCTCTGGGCATTTGCTAATATCTTTGTCTCTTCGTGGCATTTAGATACAGTGAACTTGCTAAAACGTGACCTCATGAATCCATCGTTAGGGGGGCTGCTACAGAGGATTATTTTAGAACCTGAGTAAATCTGCCTGGTGTAGGTAGTGGTGATTGCTTCCTTAAGACCCCCATGACGCCACGTTTTCAGAATCCTCTGCAGTTCAGCATTCTCTATCATATTTTGAGGTGTGGTTCTTCTTTGGTAGGATAGTATCTTTTTGTGTCATCAGGGTCTCTTCCATTAATTGGGTATGTTTCTGATTCTTCAGGTGATTTTTTTTTTTTTAATGTTCAGTGTTTTAGGACTCCTTGGAAACCAGCTATTCCTTAGGGAAATAGAAATATCCTCTACATAGCAGCCCCTAGAAGCAAGTTCCCAACATCTATTTATTGCCCTGGGTGAGAATTCACAAGTTCAGCACCAAAGGGGAAAATTCTCTGTGCTGTCGGGGTGACGATCGGCTGCAGGGAATCTGTCTGGTGCAATGTGCGGGTCGGCACTGGTGGGCCAGGGTGGTTGTCGGTCGAAGCTCCAGTTTGTATTAACCGTTCAAGCTATACCTTCCCACTTAAACACTGTCCTTGCTGAAACAACTTTACCCCCTTTTTTTCCACAGGAGGACACCATGGAGGTGGAGGAGTTCTTGAAAGAAGCTGCAGTAATGAAAGAGATCAAGCACCCCAATCTAGTACAGTTACTCGGTGAGTGTGCAAAGTTCTGAAGAGAGGGCCTTTTCATTAAACCCTCTCAGGGTGGTGCAGGTGCTGTGAAGGAAGAGATGAATGGTTTGCTGCATGAAGATTTCTGATGTGAACATCCGTCCTCTGCCAACATTCAGCCCATGATAAAAAGGAAGCCGATGTGGGATGGTGTTGTGTGTGTGTGAGAGAGAGAATATGTTATTACTTTATTTTTTTCTTTTTTCTTTCTTTTTTTAAGGCGGGGGGCAGAGGGAGAGGGAGAGAGAATCTTAAGCAGATTCCACACCCAGCATGGAGCCCAATGAGGGGCTCAATCTCAGGACCCTGAGATCGTGACCTGAGCCGAAACCTAGAGTCAGATACTTAACTGACTGAGCCACCCAGGCGCCCCCCTGTTTTTTTTTTAAGGCGGGGGGGGAGGACGTTATTATTTTAAATCGATACCTAAAAGCAGTCAAAGGCAAATCTCAAATGGCTTCTGAGACAAGAATTTTCCAGAGTCCCTTCACTGCAGTTACTCTGTAAGCAGACCTCCCGGTTTTGGGGGTGAACGGACAGTGCTGTAGGCTGTTCCGTGTGTGCCCGACCTTTGCCTCTGAACTTGGTGGCAGCCTCTTCATTGGGGTTCAAGTGCCCGAGAGGAAGAGAAGAGCATGGCCACATCCCTCCCCCAGGAACGTGATCACAAGCCCTGAGTGCTTGGAACTGTGGTAGAGGTTGGACCCCAGACTTAGGGGCAGAGACAGAACCCGTTTCAGGAGCCCTTTACTGTCATGCTGTCTTTTCTGGCCGGGGTTGGTGCACTCGGGAGCAGAACAGCACACCAAAGCCCTCGATGTCTTTCTGGTTGGCAGGGGTCTGTACCCGGGAGCCCCCGTTCTATATAATCACTGAGTTCATGACCTATGGGAACCTGTTGGATTACCTGAGAGAGTGTAACCGGCAGGAGGTGAACGCTGTGGTACTGCTGTACATGGCCACTCAGATCTCGTCGGCCATGGAGTACCTCGAGAAGAAGAACTTCATCCACAGGTAGGAGCCTGGCGAAGCAGAAGAGCCACGGAGTGAGCGTGGGGCCGGCAGCCTTTTACAAAAATCTCCAGCCTACAGGGTCTTAGGGCTCAGCCACTCGCTTTAGTGCTGGCAACATGGTGGGCCTTGGACCAAAGGCAGATGCTGGGTTCCTGACCTCGCCGGCTTCAGGCATGCATCCAGGACCAAACTCAGCAGGCCTAGACCCTGGGCCCGCCGAGCACTGGATCCCTGTGGTAAGAAATAGTTCCCCTCAGCACCGTTCTGGACTACGTGGAATACTAAGTGAAGTTCATCAAAGGCCTCCTTCCTGATAATCAGCGCTCCCCGGGAAGCAGAGTGCGAGGCGGGCACTCATCAGTAGTGACCTCCTCCCCGGGAGAGGCTGGCGTGGCTTCTACATGGGCTCGCGGTCACAGCTGGTGCACGGGCTTTGTTTTTTGCGTTGCGTGTTTTCTCCCTCCTTTCTCTTTATTATCATTTCATTCTCCACTTAACTTGCTGTCCTCTGGTTCAGGGATGTTTCCGCGATTGTCAGAACTGTGTGTATGTAGTTCTAAATTAAGCGGCTTTGCTGTTTTGAAGCCTGGAGTGTTTTGACCTTCAAGCGTGCCACAATTATGTTGGTGTTCGCATTCCTTGCTGGCGGAAATGGCTTCCTAGCAAAGTGATGGCCTAAGCAGGACAGGGCCTGATGGGCTTTGCCGGTGACTTTTATACAAGATGTTCTGCACACCACCGCTATGAACTTTCCTACCCAATTAACTCAAGTATGAAGCCCATACATGAGATTTCATAGTGAGGAATAAGAGTAGCATGTGTGAAGGGCTGTCCGTTTCTTGTAAGACAGATTTCCTGTGCTGCGTGAGAGCCTGATTCAGTGCTCCTGTCACTCAAGAAGGTGAACCCTCTGAGGCTGCAAATTGAGATTTCTTGACTTCTGGTTTGCTTTGCATGGCTAGATCCATTCCCTCTTCATTTCACGAACTTAAAATGCTTTACCAAAATCCTGTTACGCACACAAGTCTTCTGCATTTAATTTCTGTCTGATTGCTGATGATCAGGCTATCTTAGGCAGCCATCGCCTGAAGGTGCTGCCTCTTCTCATTCCTCGGTTCCATTTTGCCTTGGGATTTCATGGTTAACATCCATGAACCAGAGATTAGACTCCCACCTCCCTGGGACAATCAGGAGGCGAGAAGCTGATTATACAGGAGAGAATTTGTCGGATACATTCGGATAAGCATCAGAAGGAAATAGAGTGCAAAACACAATTTGGGGGGAAAATGCTGTGGGCTTTATTTTATTTTGTCCTTTATCAAGTCTGGGTAGGCCAAATGGAGACTCCCTCTGATGGAAGTTGAGGACTGGCTGGTGCCTTTGTTCCCCCTGCCTGGCGTAGAGCTGTCCTAACCGGGCAGACCCTTAGGGGACCGGAGGTGTGCAGGCATCAGCGGAAACACTTTACGTATTAGCTCATGACCGCTCACCACAGCCCTAAGAAGTAGGCGCTGCCGCTATCAGCTTCATCATAGGGATGAGGGTAATGGAGGCCCAGGGTCATGAACTTGCCCCTCTGCTGCCTCTCACCTCGGTGGGCGCTCAGGCCGATGCTGAGGGATGAGCGCTGCTCCCGCTGGGGTTTCACACACGTCCCCCGGGCCACTGGACCCAGTTGTCGGGAGTGCGCCTTCACTCGCTGGTGGTGGATTCGTGAGGCCAGGAAAGCTGGCCACAACTCATGGGTGAACGCTTGCTTTTCCCAGAGATCTTGCTGCCCGAAACTGCCTGGTAGGGGAGAACCACTTGGTGAAGGTGGCTGATTTCGGCCTGAGCAGGTTAATGACAGGGGATACCTACACAGCCCATGCCGGGGCCAAGTTCCCGATCAAGTGGACGGCGCCAGAAAGCCTGGCCTACAACAAGTTCTCCATCAAGTCCGACGTCTGGGGTAAGGACTGCTGCTGCTCCCAGTCGGCCCTCGCTGCCAGGGTGGGCTCCTTCTCCCGTTTTCCTCGCTCTCCTTGCCTTTTCACTGCCTCTTTCTCAGTCCTTCCTTTATTTTTCTTTATCGCTTAATCCTTTATTTTTTTTCTTTCCCACTTTACAGTCTTTACTCCTATTTTCTCTCCAAAATGAAGTAAAAGCCAGCATTTTCTTCCAGAATAATTCAGATTACCTTCCCCCCCACCTCCCCCCCGCCGCAACTTACCATCTTCATCCGAAGCATGCTGCTTGGGTTTGCGGGGACAGTTAGCCAGCCCTGCAGGCACCCAGGGTCTTCTGAGCAGGGAATGCTGTGTAGTTTGGTTTGGGCTTTAAATTGGATATTGCCCTTGGAAGCTTCATGGGCCAGTATTTTTACCTTTTGTTAAAGAACTTATCGTGGCAGGTAGTAAGCATACACTGAAGAAGGCGGAGTTGCATCATGAGCCCCACGCACGCATCACCCACCTTTCCCGGCCATCAGCTCGTGGCGCTCCTGCACCCTCTATCCCGCCCCCTCCCCCGACCCTGACTGTTTTGAAGCAGATCCCGATAGCATATGATTTTGTCCACAAATATTTCAGTATGAGTCTCTTAAAGATGGCTCTTTTACTCTTGTAACCACATTGCCCTTCCTCCTCAAATTGACAGTAATTTCTGAATATCATGATACAGTGTTCACATTTCCAACTGAGTCGTAAAAATCCTACTTTTACGGTCTTTTTGAATTGAGATCCGGGTACTGTTCACACCAGGTGGGCAGTCGATGCGCCCTCAGTCTGGTCCCTTAGCTCCGCTCCATCTTTTCACTGCCCTTGCTGTCTGTCTGTTGAAAAAACCCTCTCACGTGTCCTTCCATGTCTCCCACACTGCATCCCCGCGCTGTGGTTTAGTGTGTTCCTCTGTCCCTCCTAGTAAGTGGGCAGGTGGGTCTGGACCGCTGGGTCATCCTCGGGTTTGACTTCTTTCAGCAGGACGACGTCATGCGCTGTGGTGTGCTATTTCATCAGCATCTCTTGTGTGATTTTAGCAGCTCCTGATACCCAGTGCCTAGATCCACTCATTTATGAGGGGTTACCCAGTGGTGCTTCTCTCATTCTGTCACTCTTCATTCACTCGTTAGCTTAGTACTTCTGTAAGAAGAAACCTTCACTACTGTTTGGTTAAGGGGGGGTGGTGTGTATACAGTTCATTTGGGAAGGACAGCATCGTTGTTAGCTTCCTCGCTGTTGTCTACCAGTGTTCACACAAACGAGTCAGTTTTTTAATACCCTCCAGTGATGACCAAGTAGATTTTTGGGGTTTCTTTCTTTTGTGACACTATTATGAGATATATATATATATGTGTGTGTGTGTATATATATATATATATATATATATATATGACATGTTTGAATATATTTTAATCCACTGTAGTTCTTTTCCTTATTGATACTCCAATTGTCTCTTGTTTGGCCAATGGGAACTTCAGATTGCTCCTGGTTTTGACAAGACCCTTGTAGTCTTTAATAGCATCTGTGCTGTCTGGAGCGATAAAGATATTCCACGTTCATTCCCTGCCCTAGACCTGAATCACCCATTTCTCCAAGAAGTCCTGGTCCCTTTAATGAGATCTGGAATTTCAAGGCTATAATCTGGGCTTTCAAAACTTCCAAATATTTATTTAAAGATTTTATTTATTTTGAGAGCAAGAGCATGCACGTGAGTGGGGGAAGGGGCAGAGGGAGAGAATCTCAAGCATACTCCACATGGAGCATGGAGCCCCATACGGGGCTCGATCTCATGACCCTGAGATCATGACCTGAGCTGAAATCAAGAGTCGTATGTTTAACCGACTGAGCCACCCAGGCACCCCAATTTTATATGATTTTTATGAAATGTTTGGAGTCGGAAGGGGCCTTGGAGATGATACTGTACACCAGAAAGAGGTGGCTTGTCTTAGACACTGAGCTAGTTGGTCTCAGAGCTAGGAGTAGCAGTGGCCTTCCGACTTCCAGCCCTAGGTGCCCTCTACCATAAATCCCAGCAAGGTGGTCACATGACCTCAGAGACACTGGAGGGGCTGATCAACCCAGTTTCTTCTCCCCTCTAGCACGTTTTGGAAGGGGCAGGGTGTTACCATCTCATCCTGTCCTGGGCTCTTGGTCATTAAGCCCGGTAAAATGTGCCTGGCTTGCTTCTGAGGGTGTAACTTCTAATGTCCATTGCATAGGTAACCAATTTTAAATGAACGATAGTTAAATTTCATACGTCTTGAACCAGCTTTCTCTTCCCTTTTTTTGTAGCTTTTGGAGTATTGCTTTGGGAAATTGCCACCTATGGTATGTCGCCTTACCCGGGAATTGACCTGTCCCAGGTGTATGAGCTGCTAGAGAAGGACTACCGCATGGAGCGCCCGGAAGGCTGCCCGGAGAAGGTTTACGAACTGATGCGCGCATGTGAGCCTTCCCCAGCCAGTTCTAAAAATTCTTTGTGGGCGCTGTGAGAAATTACCGTCCAGGAGTGTATTCCCAGAGTGAAGTAGTCCTCCCCTTCCTTTATTCACATTTTTCAGAATCAGCCAGTGTAGCAGATAGGCGCATGCTGACTCAGACTTGTTTCTCTGCACGTTGTTTATACATAGTGTTTATATGTGAGGGGTTTTTTTGGCTTGTTCTTAATGCAAAAATGGAATTGATGGGTATCAAACTTGGATTTCTTAATAATAAATACAAATTCCTGGGCCCTACCTCCAAATATTCTGCTGTAGTAGGTAAATACTCTGGGTGATGTTTATCTAGTTGGTTTTATTATATATATATTTATATATATAAAATCATTCCCTCAACTTTTTTTTTTGCACATGGGCGTATCTTTTGTGTCCATATTTCAAAGACGTCTCTCCCTCTCCCCACTCCCTTATTTTTATATAGCTGTTTAACTTCCCATTAAATGATTTATTCATTCATCCAGTCCCATTTTGGTGGACATTTGGTGGTTTTGCACATTTGTTTGGCTTTTGCCATTATAAACAAAACAAGGATGAACACCCTTTTACGTATACCTCCGTGCATTATGCTGGGATTTCTAAAAGTTGAACCATTGGTTCAAAGGGCTATTTGCATTTTAAATTTTGATTTTACCAAATTGTTTTCCAGGAAAGGTGTACCAATTTATACTCCCTCCAGAAGTGTAGGAGAGTAACTCTGTGCTCTCGCCAACATGGGGCTTCATCAGTCCTTAATCCTCACGTTAATCTTGGGGCACTTGGGTGACTCAGTTGGTTAAGCATCCAGCTCTTGATCTCAGCTCAGGTCTTGATGTCAGTGTCGTGAGTTCAAGTCTCGCATTGGACTCCACACTGGGCATGGAGCCTACTTAAAAAAATAAATCCTCATGTTAATCTTGTTTTAATTAACATTTCTTTACTGATGAGGATTTCAGACTTTGATAACCCAGAAGTAAGGGTAAAATAGAAGGCAAGCCGTTTATTTGACTTAGTGATTCTCTGCACTTGCTAGAGTGGGCCCGGGGAAAAGATTTATAAATGTAGTTCTTGCTGTCACGTCTCTCTGGGGTTTTACAATCCATATTCTTGCCAATATCTAAAGTCTTTTCGAATTCTTAATGTCTGTAATAGGACACAGTGACATTTGTCACTTTAGCTTGTCACAGCAAAAGATGGTTAGCAGGATTGGGATGCTTTTTTTTTTTTTTTTTTAAGATTTTATTTGAGAGAGCTCA